TCGGTGGATGAGATGACCAAGTTTGATTTGTGCACGTAAGGTCACCATAACATAACAAAACAAATAATTTTGCACACCTCATTCCTAAGAAATGATTGTATCGGCACCATCGAGAATTACTATTGTCATCTCACCAATACAATGTTAACATAACGGGTAAGGATCACGAAAATTTTAAACCACAATCTCGCGCTTCCTGATTTTTCCTTCTCCTGATCGCAGCACAAAGATTTCAAAATCGTCAGACGTTCACTAATCACACCGTCGTCTCGTTATCGGATCGAACAGATGAAATTTGATTAGCACCCCATCATGTTATGGATGATAAAAAAAACCCGTGGGCTCATTAATTATGGCAAGTGGATTGGATCGAGTTTATTAAACGATTCCACGATCGAAAAATTCTCGCGACGTTTTCCCATGATAAATCATTTGTTTGATCATCATTTACCATTGTTTATGTTTGGAGAAACATTTAATGATTTTATTTAAAGAGATGTGCGTAGGAAATTCTCAAACACCAATACAAGAAAAACTTTTTGATGTAAACAAACAGGAGGAGTTGACCGAAGAACATGATATAGATAAGAAATGTACAAAGAGATTCGGGATAAATATCGGTGCTACGGTTTTTCGTGTATGATATATACTGTAGATGGTGATTTGGTGAGATGACGATGGTGGAATATGATGGGTGACACATCGGAATTCCGAATTTCCTATCCCTCAACCTTTGATGAGTCATGACGTGCACAAGGTGTTTCCACGACGATAGTTGATCCGCTCGTCGTTGCCAACTGAGAGGTACCGAGGTCATCTAGTCCATGTGGCCAACCGATCTCTGGCCACGAGTGTCACCGAGCGTCACTCTTGCTTTTCTTGATCACACGGCGAGGAAGAAAGAGATCGGTGTTAGTCAAACCGGGTAGAACGCGATGACGGTGAGAAAAAATGATGACGCGTCGTTGAAATAACCTATGTTCTGGACCCAAGCGTTCCGTCTTACTTTGACGGGGATAACCAACGAATGTGGATCGTAACGGCGGATGCGTTTTTTTCTGTGTCGATCGCGTCAACCGCCACCACACGAATCACGATTTTCTGGCGAAAAGTTCCTTGGTGATTGATTCCTTTAGCTGAATTTCGATGACGTACGATGCCTTCCCCGATCTGATTGTCGGGTGAAAAAAAAACATGAACATAACACTAATGCAGGAGAAAAAATGGTTACTTTATGCTAGGAAAATTATTATTATGATTCAAAGTAGGTTGAATAAACAAATAAACCGCCTGCAACGGGTGCGAACATCCAATTAACCTTACCTGCGCAGTGTTTTATGCGAGCGAATGCATGCTACCATATGCAAGTTATTAATGAAGGTTATTTTTATCAATGTTTTTTAATGGTCGAATATGGACAACAATTTGTAAATAGTCGAGTGACACGAATTTGTGTGAATCGTGTCGCCTTGAATATTCGAATTGTCCGATTACGAGCTTGGCAGACTGGGGACGGGTTAATGGTAAGAGATGCCTGAAAATTTCACGCATGTAAGCACACGATTAGCTCAGGCGTCCCGACGAATCATTAATTGGTGTACCGGGGACCCAAACAAATGAGATGCAATTGCTTTTTTTGTGTTCGAATAATCAATATCTCACGCCTCGAGTCATCGTGCACGCGAGCACAGCATAAATGATCTCGCCAGTTCCTCTCATTAATGTCGACCATGGTAACAAACAACAAA